GCACCCTGTATACATCTTTCTCATAGAGCTTTTGTCATTTCATAGAATTAGATTTGTCCACTGCCAGCTTCAAGATCACATAAGTGGATACAATACCAAAATTGAGTTCTGTCATCTTGAAGGTATGAAATAAATTGGAGAGACTAAAAACAGATAAGCTGCACATTCAATATACTTATATGAATGTGTAGCAAGGATTTGACTGGCTATTTTAGTCACTGCAGTAAACAAAGCAGTTCAAAATACTGACGAGGAAAAAAATACACGCCGTTTACCCAATTATTTACAAAAATCTGAAATCTTGATTGCCTAAGCACACACTCCCTAAACCCCCAAATGAAGCTCTGGCACAACCGCATTTAGAAGTCACTTAACAATGCAGTCCAAAAGGTACCCACAAAAAAGTAGAAAAAAAAAGGAACATCTCTAAATAAACAACATAAATGAGAATAACAAAACAGATCCAGGACCAAGAAAAACAGTTGCGTTATTTAAAAAAAAAGCACAAGGGGGAGAAATCTAAATTTTATATTAAATTATTTTAAAATAAAAGTTTATGTGATCTTGAAATGACATTTTCTCTTAAAACAAAAACATTATTTTTCTCTATAGTAAGCTGCAAAGACTTTTACCTGTGCCAGACATTTTGGGCATCTCCAGTCACCTTTGGGAACATCATGGAGAGGAGGAATAAGACAAAAGGTGTGGTAGCTGTCATCACAACCATCACAAAGGAGTAAACGGTCCTCATCATTTCCACTCCCACAAAGAAGACAAACATATAAATCCACCTGAAAAAACATCCAGAATAAACATACGGTCAACAAATGAAATAATGCAATCTATGGACAGATATTCACTGTATTATTACACTACATGTGCATATAATGAAACCATAAAGTTTTCTATACTTACTGGGCTTCTGCCCTTTTTGGATTTTGATTTTGGCTTCTCTATAACTGGTTCCACTGGCTCTTGTTTTACATGCACAGTTGTATCTAGCAAGAGAAAATATCAGTTAAACAACCAAAATATTAGCAGTCATAAGCAAAAACTGTAAACATTACAGTTACTAGATGACTACTAGTGAAGAGTGAACCTGTTTGAAATTTAGGGAGCCCAAAATCTCTTTGAAGACTATAGGATTGGGCTGGGGGGGCAAAGAGACAATTCTGGCCATTTTTAGGGCTAATAGGCAAGTGGTTATCAAAGAAAGGCATAAGAAGCAGACCAATGTTCCTGTGGACTTGTCCCAATGGCAAAACATTTTTAAATAATACCATAAAGCAGAGAGATAATTTTCTTGACCAAAGGAGACATGAAAAAAAAATATGGATTTTGTACACTGTTAAATTCTTTTCCTGGAACTCAATGAGAAACACAGATTGAGAAACTACTGGGTTTACTGGCACCTACAGGAGGATTTCAACTTCCGTTGCCAGCATGCATTGTCTGCAGTACAGCAGTACCCAAAGCAAGATCATAAAACACTGTCTCATGAACTTCCAAGCAAAGAATCGTACATCAAGTACAAAAATCCAACTTTTTCTCTCGTTCATTGAAGGACACCAGATTTAAAGACCATTAGAACGTGCAAAAGTAGTCCAACCAAACTGTGGGCAATAGCAACGATACACTAAAAAGCCCACATCAGAAAAAGAAATAGAACTTGGGGCTGTCCAACCTGGCACCCAAAGATGGCATCACGAGGCCTTAAATATCAACCTGGTAAAATTTAGAGATAGTGTGAATAGAAGCTCAAGTGGCAGGCTCTCAAATCTGGAAAGAAACTTGCTCCCAAAATTCCACAAAAAAAAGCATTCAGAGTTAGGAGAGAGCACCTAGAAAGGACAGGATGGAACTGGATCTTTAAGACCAAATACTTGAATGATGATCTGTCTGAGCCACAGAGAAATGGTGGAAAAGGCCACCATGACAGGGATAACCGTGCCGAGGAGTTGGCGGGAGACATGGCTACATTGCCTTTGCTATGGTTAAAAAGCAGCCAGCCAGGAGGTGGTTAGTACCTGGCATGGGAGACAGTGTCCCTGGTAGTGAGGGGGTTGGTGACATCGACCCACTCCCGGGAGCTATATCACAGACCAGGGAACCTAGAGACCTAGCCTGCAGGTACAAGAAGAGAGAAAAAGGAAGAAATGGATCCAAATGAAGTGTAAGAGCTTGTTAGCACCAGACATTTGTGCTGTGTGTATGGCAGGAATCTCACATTGTGAGTGATGTGGAAATCATGGCTGTGCCGATGAGCAGGACACAGGCTCTGTGGTGTCCCCTTGGAAATGCTGCATTTGTGAAGAGAGGGGAAGGTGACACGGGAAAAACGTTCAACAGTGAAAGCTTAGTATATGAAGTAGAGGCTTGCTTCTTCTATGTTGGGGTGCCACTTTAATGCTGATCCCCGCATGACTGCGGCCCCATGCCTGTGTCCTCGGGTATTAGCAAGCACACTCACGAGGGGCTCCATATTGGGCTACAAGCCCCACCCACAAGCACAGCTTGAACTACATCCAGAGAATTAACAGAAATATCCTTTTGATGTACTGGGGCTGGACAGAAGCACAATGTCCTCCTGGCCTGGGGTCATGGTTGCTTCTGCTGGGTTAGAGGAGTACATCGCCATGCACTCAGTGAAAAGAATACAAGGGGTCTAGTGAATTGACAAATTAAGGTATCCTGCTTCACAGATTTGTGATTATAATCAGCTGGAATTCACCTTAAAAGATGAACTGGCCTCCTATGTGGTTTCTACACAAAACACAACTTATTCAATTATCTTTTTGTTTGGCTTGTGTTTGTCAGGTTCTCTATAATCACACGTTTGTGTTTTTTTGCAACTTTTAATATAATTTTTCACATATGTTACTTCAAAACTGACTCCAGACCACCATGTAATTCCAGGTCTGTTACTATGGCGTCACATTGTGCCCAAGTTCCCTTTTACTTTTATTACCAATGTCATTTGCATCCTTCTTTGGTTGCCTGGTTACCAATACACAGCACAGTCAACTAGGCAATCAAGACAGGAATGACATTATGCACACTATGGGACTTCCTGCTTGGGGAATGCATGGATGGCTTCAGCACTTCCAGTTAAACAGTTTGCCCACGAGAACAGTTCACTATACTAATTTCAGCCAGTGGAAAGCACATGTCTTTAGAAAGGAGATCTTTGTGTCTCTGAAAAGTAAACCTTTGGGGGTCCCATACCAGTTGTATAGAGGGCAGCTGGTTGTTGATGCTGCATTGCTGCCAGCTAAGCCATGGTCAGGTATGAGCAATGCAAGTGTCCACAAAATATCCTTGCCTGATGAAGTACATTCAGAGTAAATTTTAAAAAGCAGCACTGCACAACAAAGGTTTGTGCCACTGTCGCATACAATATTTGACTGCAGTTGGCATGGGGAGAGTCACCTCTTAGACTGGGGAATTTCCACCAGCTCTGGCCCAGTGTCACTCCTGTCCCTCAAACATACAAGCTGTAGCACTGCATGGTACTTTTGCATGGAACACTGCAAATGTGAGCGCTTGTGAGGGTCTGTTGGTCCTGCTGAGGGGGTGGTTATGGTGACTAAACTGTCGTCTTTCACCACTCACTGTAGAGGTTCACCCCATTCCTGCATCAGTCCCAACTACAGCAAGGTTTCCTAGTGCACCATGAATGATATATAGCATCTCCAGTCAGGTTTACTAGCCACTTGAAAGTTGTCCTAATGTGTACATGACACTGAAAATGTGGTCCAGCAACATACATATTTGTTCAACATGAAGGTAAAAATAATGGCAGCTAGATACCTGCCACTGTTGGGCAGTGTAAATCATGAACTGATTAAAGGGGGCAGCTGGTAAAAGAGCCACTGAAGCACCAGAACTTTGACAAGCTGCCATTCATATGCAGGGGTGGATCTGGCAACATTTTTTTTCTCCCATTCCAAAAACTGTAGAGGATAAGAACACAACAAAAAGCTTAATCTGGTACAATAAGAATTTATTATAACAGTCAAAAATCCAAAGCATATTGGGGCTCAAAACAGTACCTTCTATAGGACTTTTGTGCTAGCAGTTAATTCAGATTTGTATTGGACAACAATAGCAAAATGATATGAATAGAATGAAACCAGAGTTGCCAAACTGGACAGCCAGTCATTTTGGTAACCTGGAATTCATGCTAATCATACAATAACGGTCTTGTTTTGAGTCCCCAAAACACATTAGGTTTTTGATTACAGTTCATGAAAAGTAAAATTCTTACTGGACCGAATCAAACTGTGTGGCACTCTCATCCTTTTCATCCTCTACAAACTACATTAGAGACCTTTTGAGAGGACAGGAACTGCCTCTAAACAGTTACATTTTGACTCCCAATTTCAGTCTTCTCTGGGATCCAGATCAACACATGCTCCAATGAAAGGGAACCAGAAATGGTAAGGTTTCCACTGCAGATGGTGGGGTAAGTGTTAAGTACTGCTGAAGTCCCAGCTTTTGCTTTACCCTCCTTAGCCTGGCCCCATAACTCTCTCCACCGCTGGACGTGGAAAAGGGTAGGCCTCTGAATTTTCTCCAGCTCATTGGATACAGGTGACATAGCAATGGATGGATGGATGCTGAGTAGGCAGCGGCTGACTACCATTAAATTACTGTCAGCAGTAAACACATTAAAGTAGTATAGCAAAAGCTTTTTTGGTTATGCTTCTCCTATGGATCACAGGAGTGCAGTTTGTTCTGCACTCCTGTGACCCATTTTCAGCTGACAGTGAGTTGAAGCCCAGTGTCCGCTGACATCATAGATCTGGTCCAGGCTCTGAAAAGATCATGACCATATGATATGGATCCACCCAGAACCCTGGACTGGCACCTGGCTCAACCTCACAGCAAACTGCTGAGAGCCTGAGCCAGCTTCTTCTGCCCCCTACACAGCTCAGTGCTCCAGTGAGCACTGGAGGGGAGTGCAGAGAGCCGCTGACTGATAGTCACAGCTCTCTGCTCAGAATGGAGGGGGAGAATTGAGAGATTATCGGTCTTTGATTGCTCAGTTCTCACTACAGAGCCAGCGGGGGACAGATGCAGCATCTACCTTGGTGAGTATGTTTTTTTTTGTTTTTAAAAGCCATACTTCTCTTAAATCTCACATTGCTGAGCTCAGTGGGCCAGCTTTGTGTATAGATGGAACAGGAACAGTTGATACAGTCCCAAAAGAGATTGTTGGGTCTGTTACTAGAACCAAGAACACAGAAGAGAACACAAAGATATGCAGCCTATCATAGGAAACCACAGTAGAGCAAGGTAACTCTCTCCCTACACAGATTTGTCAGTTTCCCCCTAACAGCACCAATACATACTGACAAAATAGCTCCTGTGAGTCCACCTTTTTATAGTCATAAGGTTGGATTTCCCAAAAGCCCTCATTATAGGCCCCTCTAAGCCTGCTGACTAAAATTCTAAGGTCAGGCAGTGCAGTTATGGTTGTAAAAAATGTCACATAAATGTGACTTAGAATTTCAAGCCACAAGATTTGTTGCAAATTCAAAGTAGTGGAAATCCAACCCTCATCCCTAAAATCAATACACAGGTACAGTAAAAACTAACCATTTTCACAGACAGAAGGCGTAGATCCCATCCTGCGGCGCAAAGTTCGAGGTCCCAATTCTGGCGTCTCTTCCGGTTCAATTTTAACTCTTATAGCCTTAAAAATGAAAAATCATATTTATTAATGAACGTTGTCAATCAGCTTACATACAAACAGAAGAGGCTATATTTATTTCCACAGTGCTCACCTCTGCTCTCATAC